AGCCATAAAAAGAAGTAAGTCGATATGTGCATAAATCAAATATTGTACCACTAAAACCGACACTGCCTGTGCAGGAAAGCTTGAGACAGGCTAAAGGGCTTATCCTTTCTCTCACTCTAGGTGCTTCCTGGCAGATGTCTTTCCCGGAACGTGAGAGCAGTTATGGAGGGGGGGTGGGTCCATTTGTTATACAGGCAGAAGGCAAACTGATTCCTCGAAGGAGCAAAACTTTCAGAATGTAAAGCATCCTCTGTGTGTGTGTGCACTCGCTCAGTTGTGCCCGACTCTTTGTGATTGCCTGGACTGTAGCCCACCAAGCTCCTCTGTCCATGGAATTCTCCAGGTAAGAATACTGGAGTAGGTTGCCATTTCCTTCTCCAAGGGATCTTCCCAACCCAGGGACTGAAATCAAGTCTCCTTCATCTCCTGCATTGGGAGGCGGATTCTTTACCACGGCGCCACCTGGGAAGTAAAGTGTCTTACCCCTGACCCGTTGGTTGATGTTAGTCCCCTCCCGTCTGCTTCCAGACCCCCTATAATATGCTCCAATCCCTTGAACAAGGCCCGCTCGGTGCCTTGTATGCAGTAAGCACTAATGCATGCTGCTTGTTTGACAAATTCACTCTGTGGTCCCCACACGCCCGGGTCAGAAGAATCAGCACAGGAAGTGGTTGGATTATTTTCAGAATAGTCATTAAAAACACCAGTTAGAGCCAAGAGCGAACAGGCAGAGGCTGCCCTTGGTGCTTGTCCCAGCAGCAGCCTGCTGACCCACTGGCCCACCCAGTCCGGGGCCACTGCTTGATCTAGCCTGGCCACGCTAGACAGATGCCTCCTCCCACTGACAGCTACCCTCTTTTGACTTTTCTTGAGGACCCCGAACTTCCTTCTCCATCTCTGCATCCCTGTTGAAGGTCACCCTCCCTGGGGGGACAGGGCAGGCCCTCCACTTTCTCCTCACTGTGGCTCAGCTCCCTCTCACCAGGGATAAAGAGATGGTGTGGGACCCTGGGACCAGCATCCAGCTCCAGTTCCTCAGGCCACAGTTTTGGCCTTTCTAATCTGTAGTGCGTCTCTGATACCTTAACTTGAAGTTCTTTTTTTGATGAGGTTCTTATGACAATTAGGGGTGAGCTTTGCATAAAATGGCAACCCGCTCCGGTATTCTCGCCTAGGAAATCCTACGGACAGAGGAGCCTGGCAGGCCACAGTCCATGGGGTCACAAAGAGTCGGACACAACTGAGTGACTAACACTTTCTGCATACAAGGACGGGCCCTGTGCAAGCTGGATGCCACTACGAGACGTTTCAGCACACTTGGGGGCCGGAGATGGAGGCTGGACTCCCCGAGGGGCTGGCTTTGCACCTCCATGAGCTCCTTTACTTCTGCCCCATCCCCGGGAGATTCAGGCATGATCTGACACCCCAGACAGTTGGAAACGTCCCTCCCTGTGGCCCCCTTCCAGGACTCTGAACTCAGTGGCCAAGTTCCCACGAGACCCCCCCAACAAGCCTCGGGCTCCACCCCGGCTCCTCATCCCAGCCCTCGGACCACCTGGCAGAGGCAGGCGGCTTCCTTGGGCTTTACCTCGATTCTGGGAACTTTCATTGACTACAGCTTCCGTGGCCAAGCCAGGATCAGGACTAGAGGTCAAGAATACCCCGGGGCAGATGCGGTGCCTGCAGAGGGGAGGGCTAGCTCCTGGACCCTTACCCCAGGGGCCGGGCAGGGTGGAAGACCATGAATTTAGGTAGAATCCCATTTTTACCGAAGGAAAGGGGGACAAAACACAGGCATAACCTCACCGTAAGCATTGAGCCTTAATGAAAGAGTGAAAAGATCTCCAAGCTGAACGCGGAATCCAACCACTTCTCAGGACTTCCTGGTGGCTCAGTGGATAAGAATCCAGCTGCCAGTGCAGGGGACATGGGTTCAGTTCCTAGTCCGGAAAGACTGCACATGCTGCAGAGCAACTAAGCCCGTGGACCACAACTATTGAGCCCACACCCCCTGAGCCTGTGCTTCACAACAAGAGAGGCCACCGCAATGAGAAGCCCACACACAGCAAAAGGAGTGGCCCCCGCTAGCTGCGACTAGAGGAAAACTAGAGGAAGCCTGTGCATTTAGCAATGAAGACCCAGGACAACCAAAAATAAATAAATAAAAATAAAAAAATATCCAACCACTTCTCATCCCCGTGGCCCAAACCACTGCCATTCTTCCAAAGATTATGGTCTCCCCTTGGTCCTTCGCATCAGGGCATCTCCACCCAGCAGCGGCTAAACCCAAGAGGACCGCCTCCTTCCTCTGCTCAGCCTCCTTCATGGCCCTATCCAAGAGAGTGGAACCACGCCCCTGGTATGGCCCAGCCAGGGGCCTGCCAGCTCCTAGCTCTCTGACCCCACACCCCCTGCAGGCCCCACTCCACCACCCCCACCCTTCACTCCTGCAGGTCAGGCCTCCGCCTGGGGCTGCTCCTTTTGCTGGAAGGCTCTTTCCTCTGGTGGAAATGGACCCCCTGCTCCCTCTCTAAGCCTGTGTGCTCCTGCCCAGCCACCCCCCCCCAGTGTCAGCTCTGCACACTCCACAGCACACCCCTTCCCCACGTGACATTCTCCTTTGTACTAGTTATTATCCAACATGCTACATGTTGCATTTATTTACACCGTCTCCTCTGTTTCCCACTAAGACGCCAGCTACTCCAGGCCTGGGATTGCTGTTTATTCTCCACTGAATGCCCAGGGCCTCAATCAGCACCCACACACAGCAAGGGCAGCACTGATAGATGAAGGAACCTCGGCTCCCAGGGGAGCAGAGGAAAGGCAGGGTCTGCTGGCTCAGGGATGGAGTAACTGGACAGCAACCTAGTCAGTCAGATACTTATGGGGCAATTATTATTCTGAATGTAGAATCAGCCAGGCAGTATAAGGAACCCCCACTGCCAGTGGTGTCACAAGACCTCAGCCTCTGATCAGTGCTTATGACCCTGCAGAGCTGCATCTGGCCTTTGGGTGCTAGAAGAATATGGTCTGGGTGAGCAAGGTCAGATGACAGTAAGACATGGAGGATAGATAAGTACCGGGCTAATGAGCCATCTGCCGGGCGGTGAGGTTTCCACGCCAGTCAGCACGATAACTCCGCAGATCAGTCTCCAGATAAACCCAGAGAACATCAGAACATTTGACAACAAAACTGAGCTGTAATAACAGCACTCACTCCAATCTTTGGGGATGCATGCGTGCATGCTAAGTCACTCAGTCGTGTCTGACTCTGTGTGACCCCATGGACCGTAGCACACCAGGCCCCTCTGTCCATGGGATTCTCAAGGTAAGGTTACCGTACCCTCCTCCAGGGGATCTGATACATTTCACAATTGTGAGTCAGGTGGCCGGTTGTGACCACCCAGCAGGGTTGATCCTCCAACCCAGAGTCCTCCTAGTTCCTCCTCTCGTCCTCAGCCACGTATAAAGCAAACTTTGTGGTGCCCAGGCTCTGACATGGCCCTGTCACTGCACTGGAGACAAAAGCAAAACCATCATCATTCCTTGAGAGCCAATCGGCCCTCCCACCTGACCCCACAGCAGGCAGGGGACAAGAAGTGACATATGCTGGACCATCCAAATATGAAGATGATGACCCCACACTGCACAGGGCTCCAGCCTGGCCAACTCCCCAGACCGCCAGAAGGAGTCTGGAAAGCCAGTGTCCATCCACTAGGTGAAGGCCAAATGGCCAGGAAAGGAAAAGCAAAGACCACTGGTCGTGGCCGTGGTCAGCTTAGCCCAGGCAGACAGGCAGGGAGGAGGGAGACCATGTGCCCCAGACACTCTCTCAGTAAGCAAACCCCAGACATTCAACAGATGGAAAGCAGTGGCTTGGAATTCTCTTAAAATGAAACAATAATTGCATTCTCTGTCTGGTTTTTACACTGGCTTCCAAAAGCAATAGGCACTGAAAGCCCTTCAGCATCACCGCCCTCCCCCAAACTTGTTTCCAGCCCCAAGAGAACTGGGGAGCCGCAGTTCCCACTGATCCCAAGAGCAGGTCAAGAGCTGCCTGTAATCCCTCCCTTCCCCCTACACTCCCTGTAGCAATTAACACGGGGGGGTGGCGACCAGAACAGTGCTGAAGCCAGCAAATAGCGGGTGGCTACACGAGGACAGAAATAAAATTGCCATTTCAGCTCTGGGTGCAGCTGGAAGAGGCGCTCACTCTCGAGGGTGTACACAAATTTAGGGGAAGGAGGTACCTGAAGGAGAAGGAACTTTTTCCATCTCCTACTGAAATTAAATAAGGATGGCTCTCACAGCAGGGAGAGATGGACCCAGGGGGTTCCCCCCAGGCTTAAGTGGCGCTTGGGTCACAAATAGCTTAGGGCCCCATGCCAGCCAGGTGCCTGCTGATGGATGATGGAGCATCCACCTGCAGCAAAAGAGTCCTAATGGAGCACTGTCTTTGTAGGGAGGTGACCAGCCCTGCAGCCAGAGGGGGTCGCTATGGGAATCTGGTCACCTGAGAGGTGACCAGCCCTGCAGCCAGAGGGGGTCGCTATGGGAATCTAGTCACCTGAGAGGTGACCAGCCCTGCAGCCAGAGGGGGTCGCTATGGGAATCTGGTCACGTGGGCAAGCGACTAGCTTTGCAGTCAGAGGGAGTCACTCACTATGAGCACCTGTCCAGAGGGCAGTCGGAGACCGGCTGCCCTCTTGGCCCTGATTCCCAAGGCGGCTGGAGTCAAAGGGAAGATGAGGGGGCGTGCCTTAACGTGGGAGGGGAGGAGAACGGAGTGTAAACCGGGGAGAGAGGAGAGAGGGGGCGGGAAGGAAAAGGAGAGGAGGCGGAGGGGGAGGAGTCGAGCCCGCGGCCCCGCCCGGCGGCGCGCTGGTTGGCTGGCCCCCGCGTCCGCCCGCCGCCCGCCCCCTCCTCCCACGCCCCGCCCTCCCCGCGGCGGCTGGCGTCGAGAAAGTACAGTAAAAAGTCCAAGTGCAGCGCTCGGCAAGATGGGAACAGGCTCCTCCAGCTACCGGCCCAAGGCCATCTACTTGGACATCGATGGACGCATTCAGAAGGTAGCCCCCTCCCCCAGCCTCCCCCGCCAGGCTGCGGGCGCCCTCCCCGCGCGCCCCTCGCGGTGCCCGCCAGCCGGCAGCTCCTCCCTGGTGACCGCGCGGGGTCGCGGAGGCGGGTGGGGGCCGGCCAGGGGGCGCCGGCGGGGGAGGGGTCCGCGGTCCAGCGCCCGCGCATCCGCGGAGGCGGCTGTGGCCTTCGACAACTTGGGCCGGGGGCGGTGGGGCTCCGCGGGGCAGGTGTCCCCACGCGCGGCCCGGTGGAAAGGGGCGACCGCGACGGGAGTATTTTTTCCTTTCCTTGGGCAGAGCTTTCTTTGTAACAAATCTGATTAGGCTGAGTTCCGACGTTCCGAGGCTGGTCCATTAAGCCTTTCATTTCCGGTGGAAGGACCCTGGAACAGTCGCCCCAGGAGCCGGTGGGCAGACCCGTGGGACGGACACTCCGGACAAGGGGAGCGGGTGGTACCTGGAGCTCAAAGCCCCTGCGGGGGCCGGGCACCGCTTCCTGCCGAGCGGGGAGCAGGTTGGGGCGGGTGTCGGTGGAGGCTGGCACGGCAGGGGCTGTCATCCCACCTTCGGTTCCCCATCCCAGCAGGTGGGCAGCCCTGAGCCTGGAGGGGGTGACCCGGGGCTGCTTCACCTCCTGGGGACTGCGGAGAGACCCGTTGACCCTCCGGACGAGCTCTGCATTCAGAGCATCTCCTGCTTCTGATTGGCAGAGAGGGACAAAAAGAGAGCTGGCTTGGAGGATGCTTCTCTAAGCTCCCTCTGAGGTCCTGGGCGGGTGGGGGAGAGGAAGGCCACTGTGAGGGAAATGCTCCCTGACCCCAGCTGGACACTTCAGGGAAGCCGTGCATCCGCCGCGGCTCACTTTGCTCTTCTCCAGGCGCACCCAGAGCAGGGAAGCAGGCAGAGATGCCCCAGCCGGATACAGAGTAGGCGCCAGGGCTTGGGTGTCTGGGGTTCTCAGACACCCTCTGCCAGCAGCCTCACTCTCGCCCCATCCCCTGCTTGATCCCAAGAAAGGAGAAGTGTGGGCTCCCCTTCGCCCCTGTAGCCCACTTCATTGGAGCCAGATAACGGGGAGCAGGGGCTCTGAAGCAAGGGCAAGTGGTCACCAGACGCAGGACTCCCCTAGGTCCCCTGGCTTCCAGGACTGGGCATCTGTGACTGCACAGGAATTTAACAGCCTCCCCAGAGGGAGAAAGGGCCCTCCGCTGAATATGCTCATGCTCCAGCATGGACACATGTGCACAGACATGCACACACGGACACACACGTGTGAACATGCATCCACACACAGTGTGCGTGTAAAATGTGTGCACACACATACACACAGGCGCACACACATGCACACACCACACATAGACACAAGCACAAACACACAGGCAAACATGCACACATACACACAAGCACACACATGCATGCACCACATATAGACACACATACAAACACACAAGCGCACACACAAGCACAAACACAAATGCACACACAGGCAAAGATGCACACAAACACACAAACACACTCATGTACACACACAGGCAAAGACACTCACACACAAGCACACACACTTTTTCTATCCCAACAGAGGAGAATTATCAAAGCTTGACCCCTTTTATCTTTTGAAAGAGGTGAGATGAGATGCTGTCAACATCAGAAGTGACAGTTCCCTCCCAAGAATGTCCTGAAGGTTTCCTGGAGAAGTCCAATGGGATATAGGTGCCAAATGGAAGACAGGCTCCTGAGGGAGGGGAGCACTGAGTGGTGGGCTTGACTCGGCCGTCCTTGGGGACATTTTGCTGCTGAGATACTCAAGGTTCTGGTGATTTCCACAAAAGCAGCTGGGCAGGCAATTCTGGGAGACAGTGAGCACCTGTGTTCGGGAGCGGCCAGATCTGATATGGAGTGCCAGCTCCACCGCTTTCTGTCATCCTGGGCACCTAACTCTGAGCTCTTCTGAGCTGGCCTCTAGGCCAGTAAGGTGGGACAAGAGCATCGTCTTTGTAGACTGTTGTGAACAGTGAAGGAGGCCATGTAGACTGAGTGCCTGGAACCCTCTGGAACACAGCAGGTGTGATGTTCTCTGCGGTTGGTCCATGCCTTTTGATACAAATGAGAGGAGGCAGACGTGGTCCTCAGATCTCGGCCATCACTGTCCCTGCTTCCTGACCTTGCTCTGTGTCCTCTGCCTTTGCTGCTGGCGCTGGGGGGCTGGCAGGGAGGGCTCCTGGCTGCACCTTTAGCCCTGGGGGAGAGCTGGATCATCTGGGGTTCCGAGCGTGTACTGGAAGTCCTAACCCCCAGCCTACCTCACCCTGACACCCAGCAGCTCAGTTGGGACTTTAAATCCTGGGCTGAGAGCTCCTGCAGCAATGTTTTCAGTGGCTGTGGTTTCTTAAAGTCCCAGGCGCTGGATTAATTCTGAAAGGTCCCGGCATGCCGTCATGTTCTGTCTCCCTTTTATCCATCCCTTCTCCTTTCTGGGGAAGCCACTCTTGAGGGGAGAGCCTAGGGAGGCAGGGGGGAGGCAGGAGCTGCTTCTGGCGCTTGTGTTGTTCTGTCTGCCCCGTGGTCCCTCGGTGGCTCCCGCGTTGTTTCTGCACTCGGTCCCTCCAGTTCTCCGTCTCCTGGTCCTTCCCATTCCCCCCAGAGAGGGCCCCAAAGAGGAGGAAGAAGGTAACATTCAGAGCAGCGGCTTCTCGGACAGCATCTGCTCCAGCACTCCCTGGGGGGCAAATCTAAAGTTGTCCGAAGGGATGCCCGGCGTCCCCTCCGAGGATGTACCGTAGGGATAATGCTCTAGGTGTTCCAGGTTCTCAGAGAAACTGGTGGCGCCCCGGTGACTGGCTCACTGCTTCCTCGGTATGAAGGAGACTCGAGCACACACGTCACATCGCCCGCCCAGGTACCCAGTGCGGGGCCGCCACAGGGATCTGGGGTCCCCTTGAAGGATCCGTGTTCCATCTGCGGGCTTTTCCTGTAGAGGTGCATAGGTGGCTTGGGGGCGGGGGGCAGACGGGGCTAATCTTCCCGGGTCTGGGTCCTTCCTGGGTGTACCTGGAAGCGGCCTCCAAGGGGGCTGAGAGGCGTGCAGGGAGCCAGTCCCTCCTCAGGGCCTCCACTTCCAGCCCCTCAGATCCGGATTCGTTCCCTAACCTCCCTCAGTCATGATTTCTCCACTGCCGCGTGGGGATTCTCGTTGGCCTGCTTGTTACAGGAATCAGAGTGGACAGTGCAAATCACTTAGTTATCCCAAGTGTTCACTGAGCAGCTAGTCCATGCTGAGGTCTGGGGTCCAGGGTGAATGGGGCATTCATGGCGCTCGGTGAGACCCACCCAGCCATGGCCCGTTTGCACACCCTCCCCCACCCTGCTTCCCCCGGGAGGGGCAGACTGAACTGCTGCTGTTGCAGGGGGCCCGGTGAGGGACGGGACCCAGCGGGACCCAGCTGTGGACAGGGCTGATGCCGGCTACATGTGGGTTTCCATGAAGAGGCTTCCTTCCTTAGGGAAGACCAGCCTGGTGGGGAAGGGGCCCTCCTCCTAGGCCAGGCAGTCTCAGGAAGACCCAGCCTGTGACTGCCGAATGGCCAGGGCGGCAGCCTCACGCAGCCAGCTGCATCTCCGCACACCCGTCCACATCTGCTCCACCACTTGTCGGGGGCACAGGTGGGACCTGGCACCTCTTGGCACCAGGTGAAGGAGGAGGGAGTGGGAGCCGGGTCCCCAGACCCAGGGAGCCGGGAACCCTGTTGTCAGGATTCCCCTCTAGAGTTGGTGCATCTTATCCCCACCCACAGGGCTTGCTGTTTCTCTCTGAGGCTTCCCCCACCTCAGAACCTGCTCCTTTCTCCCACGCGCCTCCGGAGGAGGGTTGGGCTTGGCTGGGTTGCCTGGGACATGACAGACGATGCCCCTGGCATCAGGGAGCTTGAGGGACTCCTACCTGGTGGCACGTCTGGGCGTGGGTTTGCCCACCTTCTGAAGGAGGCAAAGTGAGGCCTTTGTGGGATCCCTGGCCCCGGGCTTGGGCTTAGTGAGAAGCCTTGTCTGGGCAAGACCAGTCATTCTGGGGACCATCGTAAGTGGTGCTGAAAGGGACCAATTGGTGCGTTGCCTGTCTAGCAGCGCCCCTCCACCCCACCCCCGCCGTGGGACAGCCCCTCACCAGGCGCTCTGGGCCGGCACCGCCCCCAGCCGCTCCAAGCTGCGTCCCCGCCAGGTCTTAACAGGCATCAGCAGCTTGAGTTCTGCTCGGTCATTTCTGCTCTGAAACAATGGAACAAATGAGAAAATCCCGGAAGGAAGAGCAGAGAGATCCCTGGGAAGTTGTTGAAATGTCAGCAGAAGGCTATTCCCAGTTCCCTACGGCTGGTTGTGGTTGGGTCCCCCCACCCGCCGCTGGGACTGCCCCCCCTCTTTCCCCCCGGAGCTAGGCCCTCCTCTGCTGGGGCTCCTCTCCACATGCTGCCTTCCTCTCAACCTGGCTCTGTTGACACTTGGGGCCCCGGGCCCTGCCATGGATTCCTCGAGAGCCAGCCCCCATGGACCTTCAGGGCCAGCCCGCCATCCCCTCCCCAGCAGTTTCCCTGGGGCTCAGGCCCTCCTCCCTGCTCTGGGGGCCCTGGCTCTGCCTGCCCTGACACGGGCTCCCCACGTTCCCCTGGACACGGGCTCCCCACGTTCCCCTGTCCTGCTCCGGCCCTGCTCCCTCCAAGGATGCAGCCTTCCCTGCCTTTGGCACAAACACAGGCTTTGGCCTTTCAAGCTGGCTGCTCATCTTCAAGGCAGTCCTGTCCTCTGTTGAAGGGTGCCCCTGCCACAGTCTTGTCCAGTGTGGTCAGCGTGGTGAGGCCTGGAGTCCTTCCCTGGCTCATGAAATGTCTCCCCTCCTGGGATGTCTGTCCAGCCACCTGGCCAAGCCCAGTGGAGAGTCCCTTTCACCCTCAGACATGTGCTTGGCTCGCCCCTCACTCAGAGCCTCCCTTCCCTGCCCATCT